ACAGATAAACATACCATAACTAGCAAATAAATTCCGAACGAAGAATCAGTCAAGTTTGAAGAAAAATTTGGAAAACGAATTATTTATAAAAGTATATACTATTTATAAAAACACATGAAAATAATATTAAAATGTATTCTTATAAGACAATTAACCCAAAGTTTTTCAGAAGGACATTTATTTAAACTGTATTTAATTAACCTAAGGATTATGATATTATATATGTGTATATAAATGATATTAACAATAAATATATAGGCCCATATATATATATATATATATATATATATATATATATATATATATATATATATATATATATATATATATATATATACATATACATATAACATTTCACATGTTTCTGTTAGATTTCACTACTCCTCAATGATAATGACGTAGCTGCAGCTGGTGCAGTTCATGTGCTGGGTGGGGAGAAGGAAATGCCTTGGGCATATGAAAGATTGATGAAGATAGACATAACTGAAACCGTTAAAGCTTCAAGCATTGATGTTAGCCATGCCGTTAAAGTAAGTTTAACTATTGTATGATTATAATAATAATAACTACACTTCAGACATTTGACAAAGTTAATTAAATTGAATTTGTTTTCAGGCAAGATTTACATTTACTGACTACACGGGCAGTAAAATAAAAGAAGCTGAAGATTATGCCATTTTCGTTGAAAGACGTGCCAACACAGATTATGATGTTGTGAACATTCCAATAGGCAGAGAACAACCACTGCCACCCAAGGTAAGCTGTAGAGAATGTTAACGCAAGTCAGAATAATCTTTAGACGTCAATGTAAACGTCAGTAGACCTATATTGTTGCCTTGGTTAAGATTATAGAGCATCGTCTAAAATTACCATGTCTAGAATGGAAGAACGTAACGGTAAAGTCGCATCTCTATTTGTGAATAATCAACTCTATTCCTTATTTAACATCTTATAAAGCAGTTTATCGTGTATAAAGCTCATTCCTTCCATCTCCTTTATAGATTTCTTTAAAGAAAGGCACCCGTGTGAGGTTTATCCCAGTCTCTGATAGCTTTACCAAACCCATGGAAGACCTCGGCAGCTACACCAGCTACAACAGGTGCGCTGTGCCACCATTCTCCTACCAAAGCTACGCTCTCAACACAGTCCACAGCCTGGAACCAGGTGAACACTTCTTCGTCGCAGCTGACAAGGCTTTGTGTGCGGAGGGCAAGAGAGTTATCATTGCAGTTGAAGATGAATAAGGTGAGTCGTCAATTACAGCACATTTTCTTATAAATGTTTATACATGCTAAAATATATTACATCATAATTATGTAATGTGTCTATAAAATATATCGATTTGTTTTTAATATTTCAGTTCGGTCCAAAAAATGAATGGCACTTGGGAAATTGTATTCTAAGAAGTCAAGTATTTTTTGTGTTAATTATAATGCATTGTGTTACTAAAGCGTTGATAACTATTTACATTTGGTTTCAAACGTCACGTGATCTTTTGATAAGATCACACGAGAATCTCGAATTTACCCTGTTGAAATGACATTATCTGCTCTCAATAAATCAATGCAATGTTTCAAAGTTTTACTTTATTTTTTTAAGTATATGTAAATCTAACTGTTTGGTGCACATGGTAATTAAGTAGGGTTGTTAATTGTGAACTTAAAAATATATCATTCGTATTGTATTAGATCCTATTTGTTGAGGAAACAACACCTATCGGCTCAAACATTTTAAATCTTTATTACAGAAACGCAGGAAATTTGTAACATATTGCAACGGAATAATAAATAGTATACTAATCTGATATGCTAGACCTTATAATTCTATTAAAACAAAAGAGGATACAAATTAACGAATGCAACTTATATTTAACTAATGTCATAATTTAACGATAATACAAAGTTTAAAATGTAATTAATTTTCTCAATATTTCGTCTTTGCACATAACATATTTCAGGAAAGTCAAAAGGTTTTAATAACGAACAGATAAAACAATGAGTGACAATAACGAGACAAAAATATTCAATAATAAAAGTCAGCACCAAATTTCTTTCTAATCTGACTAAAAATTAAGTACACATATAAGTATAGATTTATAATCACATTATATTAATATAATAGCATTTATTTAGAATTTAGACAATATAAAACACTACAGAAAGTAGATTCAGTATTTGATAATGATGCAAATATAGTAATGCAGTAACCAATACAATATTTAAAAATATAAAATACATAATTTTAACAGGAATATCATGATTAACATGATCAATGAAATAGGCCTACCTTATTTCAAAGAATGTTTACACGTATAAACAATTTCTTTTCACTCAAATTGCGATTACATACAGTTCTTACCGACAGTTCTGTCATACACAATATCACATACACACGCATATATATATTTATATACAATTTTTGCTTTATTTTCATTTTGTTTTTTTTTAGTTTACAAAATGAGATTAAAACAATTTCTTTTCACTCGAATTGCGATTACATACAGTTCTTACCGACAGTTCTGTCATACACAATATCACATACACACGCATATATATATATATATATATATATATATATATATATATATATATATTTATATACAATTTTTGCTTTATTTTCATTTTGTTTTTTTTTTAGTTTACAAAATGAGATTAAAACATTCCAAGAAATCTACTGATTAGCACAACATGTGCATCGCAATACCATTTCAAACACACTTCTTACAGGCAAGTTTCTTACTTCTTCAACAAACCAATTCTAAGAGAAACTTCTAAGAGAACAACACATCTACAGCTGCATACACATATACCTCAAGATTCCACCTCTATCATCTTCCATTCCCAACAAAGCACTCTGCTTATGTGTAAGGTTACGTCCCTTAACACGTATAAACAACGTTACACACCTACCAGCCCTACACCCCAATACGTAATAAACATACACACAAACATTTTACGCCAAAACTCACGAAAGCAAACGTCCACCAGACGTAACATATGACCAACTTCAATCATTAGACAGGCTCAAGGTGACAAGTGTGTTTTGACATTCATTAGACCAGATTAAGACTGTGATTTTACGGTTGTCGTCGTTTATCAACACTACACACCAAACATAAATCACCCTATGCAGCAATAAGTTAAACCCAAACATATAAAAAACATTCACACACCAAAAAGAGTGAACACTACACTCCAACAAGTAATGACCCTACACAACAACAATTAGTGACCCTACACACCATCAATTAATGACCCTACACACTAATAATTAATGACCCTACACAACAACAATTAATGACCCTACACATCAACAAGTAATGACCCTAGACACCAACAATTATTGACTATACACGCCAACAATTAATGACACTACACATAAAAAATTAATGACCCTAGACACCAACAATTAATGACTATACACAACAACAATTAGTGACTATACACACCAACAATTAATGACCCTACACACCATCAATTAATGACCCTACACACTAATAATTAATGACCCTACACAACAACAATTAATGACCCTACACATCAACAAGTAATGACCCTAGACACCAACAATTATTGACTATACACGCCAACAATTAATGACACTACACATAAAAAATTAATGACCCTAGACACCAACAATTAATGACTATACACCCCAACAAATAATGACCCTACACACCAACAAGTAACGACCTTACACACCATCAAATAATGACCCTTTACACCAAGTTATTACCCTAAACACCAACAATTAACGACCCTACACATCAACAAGTAATTACTCTCAAACCCGATTTAAGAATGAAATCGAACAATACAATATCCTCAGTCGTTGTCGGATTTCAATGATGAATGCTATTATCATCATTGTTTACAAACAAATCAAGAGCATAAGTGTTGCTTAAATGTCTTTAGTTAGTGATCCGCATTTGACATTTTAAAGCAGGATGATTAATGTAGTTTTACGTTATAAGTTAACTATGAGTCCATAGAAACCAAACTAACCAATGTAGCTTACGTAACCTGGTTAACCACGATAACCAGAACAACAATTGTCAGTAGGTTACAGATGCCTAGCATAGGCGGGGCGGTGCACCGGGTGATAGCTTTATGGGGTGACACCTTGACAAAATATTGCAAGATGTACCGAAGAAAAATGCCTATTGCCAATTCCATTTATGATTAAAAAATGTTTTTAAAAAAGTCTTTTAAGTATGGGACGGAGTGGTCTAGCGGTAGAGAGCTGGACTGCGAACCAGTAAGTCTCGAGTTCGAATCCGGGTTCAAGTCAGTAGACCGTCCCTGAGTCCACCCAACTCTGATGGGTACCTAACTCACGTTAGGGAAAGTAAAGGCGGCTGGGCATAGTGCTGACCACACTATCTCTTCATATGCCGAGGTCACAGAAACAAGTGAACTCTACTTCACTTGCCTCAGGTTTGAAAGGGAAACTTTTAAGTACAAATCGACAATTATTACAAGAGGCTGGAGGGTGACACCATGACGTAAACGTTCCAACTATAGAGGAAACAATGTTATATCCAACTGTATTATTTATAGACTATAGATAAACATCGTTACTATTAAGTCTGCAGTGATTAAAGCTTATACACATACGTGAACGCGTATATGGCATTTAAAGTATAGGTCTATGTAGGCCGACACACACAACTATATATATATATATATATATATATATATATATATATATATATATATATATATATATATATACTGATTTGTATAAATATATATATACTTTGCTTTTTTTGGGGTGGGGGAGGGTGGGTGACACCTTGAAGTGCCGCACCGGGTGACATCCAACCTAGCGATACCACTAGTAGATTAACCAGTTTAACCAGTTTAACAAGGCTAACTATAGTGTCAGGTGTTAGTTACCAGAAAGTTACCAGACAAACCTGGCTAATCAGTGATGTAACTAAAAATGGTAACCAATTTTAACTAGGCTAATTGGCCTATCGAAGATTGCCGGTCTGAACACTACCGTTTGCTAGAGCCAGACAGGCTGTTGGTCTTGTACACGCACGTCAGACAACAGATGCCAAGCAGGGCCAGGGCCAAGACGGCATACACCCCCACAATGATGGCCACACTGAAGAAATAAATGGATCTGTCGCACCACTGGTTTGGTCTGTAGACAAACATTGTTATCAAAGAAATATGTAAAAACAATTTTAAAAATTTCTTAATGCACTAAAAAATAGAACGTAAATTATTTTCTTTAAATCTATATATATAATTCTCTTCTGGGATCAGTTAGAAAACAAGCTGCAAGCGCGCCTTTGCAGTCCCCTCTCTTCCTCTCTATCACCACTACCACCCCCACCCCCACATGATCTGGTGAGCGGTGTTCACTCTGTTTACATTTTACAATCATAGAGACGGGTTTGGTGACGGCTATTAGGGGCAGATAATTTAGTTTGAAACGATTTTAAACTTAGAGGAGGTAACTAAGAGGAGGCTGCTTTCACGTGGGGGGGGGGGGGGGGGGGGGGGGTTAGTGTTTTTAAGCAAATATTTTCAATGGCAGCATTGGTACTGTCGAATTCACAAATTATAAATTACTGAAAAGTAGAAAAAAACAACTAAATAGCGGCGTATGATACGCAGCGGGTCGGCTCGTGTATAATAATACACAACTGTTTAAATAACTATAATTAAAAACATGGGTCACTTTATTTCACTAATATTTAGGAAGACACCCACGCTTTTCTTTATAGTTATTTAAATAGTAGTGTATAATTATATATTTAAAGAAAATCATTTTTTTCTACTTTTTAGTGCATTATTACATAAAAGCATGTTATTAAAACGTATTTTATGAATTTTTCTAATGTTCCTTAATTTTTTATATTTTACAATAGAGTTGCATGTTTAAAAACTATTGCGCACCTAATGAACATGTTAACGCTCGTATAATAGAGCGGAATCGTTCGGACACAATTGGGACATAATTTTAATAATTCATAAAAATTAAATGATCTATCCAAATAATTCAAATGTAATGTCATTTTGCACTGCCTTAATGTTTTGAGCCACGTGCCAAATTTGAAACGAATCTGTCAGTAAGAAGTGCCCGAAATTTCTTTCGAGCGTTTAGATTTATGACGACAGACTGGACGAGGAAGCAAGTTAAATAAAAATAAAATATATGTATATGTATATGTATATGTATATGTATATGTATATGTATATGTATATGTATATGTATATGTATATGTATATGTATATGTATATGTATATGTATATGTATATGTATATGTATATGTATATGTATATGTATATGTATATGTATATGTATATGTATATGTATATGTATATGTATATGTATATGTATATGTATATGTATATGTATATGTATATGTATATGTATATGTATATGTATATGTATATGTATATGTATATGTATATGTATATGTATATGTATATGTATATGTATATGTATATGTATATGTATATGTATATGTATATGTATATGTATATGTATATGTATATGTATATGTATATGTATATGTATATGTATATGTATATGTATATGTATATGTATATGTATATGTATATGTATATGTATATGTATATGTATATGTATATGTATATGTATATGTATATGTATATGTATATGTATATGTATATGTATATGTATATGTATATGTATATGTATATGTATATGTATATGTATATGTATATGTATATGTATATGTATATGTATATGTATATGTATATGTATATGTATATGTATATGTATATGTATATGTATGTGTATGTGTATGTGTATGTGTATGTGTATGTGTATGTGTATGTGTATGTGTATGTGTATGTGTATGTGTATGTGTATGTGTATGTGTATGTGTATGTGTATGTGTATGTGTATGTGTATGTGTATGTGTATGTGTATGTGTATGTGTATGTGTATGTGTATGTGTATGTGTATGTGTATGTGTATGTGTATGTGTATGTGTATGTGTATGTGTATGTGTATGTGTATGTGTATGTGTATGTGTATGTGTATGTGTATGTGTATGTGTATGTGTATGTGTATGTGTATGTGTATGTGTATGTGTATGTGTATGTGTATGTGTATGTGTATGTGTATGTGTATGTGTATGTGTATGTGTATGTGTATGTGTATGTGTATGTGTATGTGTATGTGTATGTGTATGTGTATGTGTATGTGTATGTGTATGTGTATGTGTATGTGTATGTGTATGTGTATGTGTATGTGTATGTGTATGTGTATGTGTATGTGTATGTGTATGTGTATGTGTATGTGTATGTGTATGTGTATGTGTATGTGTATGTGTATGTGTATGTGTATGTGTATGTGTATGTGTATGTGTATGTGTATGTGTATGTGTATGTGTATGTGTATGTGTATGTGTATGTGTATGTGTATGTGTATGTGTATGTGTATGTGTATGTGTATGTGTATGTGTATGTGTATGTGTATGTGTATGTGTATGTGTATGTGTATGTGTATGTGTATGTGTATGTGTATGTGTATGTGTATGTGTATGTGTATGTGTATGTGTATGTGTATGTGTATGTGTATGTGTATGTGTATGTGTATGTGTATGTGTATGTGTATGTGTATGTGTATGTGTATGTGTATGTGTATGTGTATGTGTATGTGTATGTGTATGTGTATGTGTATGTGTATGTGTATGTGTATGTGTATGTGTATGTGTATGTGTATGTGTATGTGTATGTGTATGTGTATGTGTATGTGTATGTGTATGTGTATGTGTATGTGTATGTGTATGTGTATGTGTATGTGTATGTGTATGTGTATGTGTATGTGTATGTGTATGTGTATGTGTATGTGTATGTGTATGTGTATGTGTATGTGTATGTGTATGTCTATGTCTATGTCTATGTCTATGTCTATGTCTATGTCTATGTCTATGTCTATGTCTATGTCTATGTCTATGTCTATGTCTATGTCTATGTCTATGTCTATGTCTATGTCTATGTCTATGTCTATGTCTATGTCTCATGTCCATGTCCATGTCCATGTCCATGTCCATGTCCATGTCCATGTCCATGTCCATGTCCATGTCCATGTCCATGTCCATGTCCATGTCCATGTCCATGTCCATGTCCATGTCCATGTCCATGTCCATGTCCATGTCCATGTCCATGTCCATGTCCATGTCCATGTCCATGTCCATGTCCATGTCCATGTCCATGTCCATGTCCATGTCCATGTCCATGTCCATGTCCATGTCCATGTCCATGTCCATGTCCATGTGTATGTCCATGTCCATGTCCATGTCTATGTCTATGTCTATGTCTATGTCTATGTCTATGTCTATGTCTATGTCTATGTCTATGTCTATGTCTATGTCTATGTCTATGTCTATGTCTATGTCTATGTCTATGTCTATGTCTATGTCTATGTCTATGTCTACGTCTACGTCTACGTCTACGTCTACGTCTACGTCTACGTCTACGTCTACGTCTACGTCTACGTCTACGTCTACGTCTACGTCTACGTCTACGTCTACGTCTACGTCTACGTCTACGTCTACGTCTACGTCTACGTCTACGTCTACGTCTACGTCTACGTCTACGTCTACGTCTACGTCTACGTCTACGTCTACGTCTACGTCTACGTCTACGTCTACGTCTACGTCTACGTCTACGTCTACGTCTACGTCTACGTCTACGTCTACGTCTACGTCTACGTCTACGTCTACGTCTACGTCTACGTCTACGTCTACGTCTACGTCTACGTCTACGTCTACGTCTACGTCTACGTCTACGTCTACGTCTACGTCTACGTCTACGTCTACGTCTACGTCTACGTCTACGTCTACGTCTACGTCTACGTCTACGTCTACGTCTACGTCTACGTCTACGTCTACGTCTACGTCTACGTCTACGTCTACGTCTACGTCTACGTCTACGTCTACGTCTACGTCTACGTCTACGTCTACGTCTACGTCTACGTCTACGTCTACGTCTACGTCTACGTCTACGTCTACGTCTACGTCTACGTCTACGTCTACGTCTACGTCTACGTCTACGTCTACGTCTACGTCTACGTCTACGTCTACGTCTACGTCTACGTCTACGTCTACGTCTACGTCTACGTCTACGTCTACGTCTACGTCTACGTCTACGTCTACGTCTACGTCTACGTCTACGTCTACGTCTACGTCTACGTCTACGTCTACGTCTACGTCTACGTCTACGTCTACGTCTACGTCTACGCCTACGCCTACGCCTACGCCTACGCCTACGCCTACGCCTACGCCTACGCCTACGCCTACGCCTACGCCTACGCCTACGCCTACGCCTACGCCTACGCCTACGCCTACGCCTACGCCTACGCCTATGCCTATGCCTATGCCTATGCCTATGCCTATGCCTATATATATATATATATATATATATATATATATATATATATATATATATATATATATATATATAAGCGGCCAAGCAGTGTGTCAGTCCTTCTATCCGACATCGCTATAGATTTTGCCCATTGAAGTAAACACATCTTTGTTACTTCCATAGTAGCGGAGATCTTGTTTATATAACAACTTAAATTTATTCTATAGTTGCCAATGTTCTTACTCTTTCGCGTAACGTAAAGAAAATATTAAATACATGCACATTGCTAAAACAAATTAAACGGAACACTGTTAAATTTCATTTTCGTTCAGATTTCTAGAAAAAGTGGATACATTTATTAATAATACGGTCGATAAAACAAATTAATTAAACTGTTTTGTAATTTTCCAAGGGAGGTAATTTAAAAATAAATTCAACTCATTGAATGCAAATTTATGAGTGATGTCTTTTGTGTTTGTGTGTTGCGTTTGTGTTTTCGTTTGTGTTTGCATTGTGTTTGTTTGCATTGTGTTTGTGTTTTCTTTTGTGTGTGTGTTGTGTTTGTGTTGTGTTTGTGTTGTGTTTGTGTTTTGGTTGTGTTGTGGTTGTGTTGTGTTTGTGTTGTGATTGTGTTGTGTTTGTGTTGTGTTGTGTTTGTGTTGTGTTTGTGTTGCGTTTATTTTTTTTCTGTTCTGTTCTTTTCCCAAATTGGTACATTTAAAAAAGATTTACAGTGGCGGAGCAAAGGTATGTATATATATCTATCTACAAGGCGATAAAAACTTCGCTGAACACCACCTAATGGGCATGTTTTTTGATATGATGCGAATATTACCTGTGCAACAAGGCTTGGAATCGTGGCTTCCAGATGCTGAGGACCCAAACTGTCCCAAGTATGTGCCAGATGAGCAGAAAGAGTGAGAGCAGGATGTTCATGGTGCGGTAGGTTTTTGACGTGATGCCTCTCTGGGCACCGTCCGAGTCAAACAGATCGTCCACACTGCCCTGATGGCGGTACTGCCGTTAGATAACATTTGGTCAGTGTAACGATAACATTGGGTCGGTGCAACGATAACATTGGAGTCAGTGCAACTATAACATTGGGGTCAGTGCAACGATAAAATTGGATTCAGTGCAACGATAACATTGGAGTCAGTGCAACGATAACATTGGAGTCAGTGCAACGATAACATTGGGTCGGTGCAACGAAATAAAAACATTCCTTATTGAAAAATATTTTTTTAAATATTTCTTTTTTAACCTCCTAACGTATTGTCAATGCACACAAAACATGTTCGCATAAGTCTCTTGCCTGTATTGAGCGCCATATTGTGATTCCAATTTTGAGTAGCCAAAAACAACCTCCAATGATGTGGAAGATAGGGATTTTGGGCTCTAGCGGGCAATCTTCCATATACTTTACACCTGAAAGTAAAAGTAAATTGTTTATTTATGCAACAAGGGGCGGTGTGTTGAAGAGGTAAAACACTCAACATATTCTTAACAAGTGCTGCAGCATGTTTTGTATTTATGTAAATTAATACATTTAAACAACAAGCGCATTGATATCACTTGATTAATACGAATTTGAAACATATTTTTTATAACGATTTTACAATTTAACGTATTTAAAACTATTTACTAGAATTTTAAAGTAAAATTAGCGTGTGTCCTCAACAAATTCTGCAGCTATATTGATTTGTCTGAGATCTTAGTAGCCGTAGAGCCAATAGGATAGTTTGTAACTTTAGGTCTTGATGGTGGCAAGTGATACCATTACATAACAACTGCACGCCGTTTTCAACTATCTTAATTCTTAACAAGATACAACTTTAAAAGGTATTTTTTTGTGTATGTCCTTTTAATAATTTGTTAGGTTATTTTATCATTAGAAAAAATTTGTTTATATATATATATATATATATATATATATATATATATATATATATATATATATATATATATATATATATATATATATATATATATATATATATATATATATATATATATATATATATATGTAAATACGCATGTGTATATGTATTTACATATATTTTTTTATGTATTTAATTTTTTACCCCCACCCCCTACGTGGATTATCATATAAGTTAATACGATTCTCAACCAAACCGTTTACCTCAGGCATTTTTGCAACTAAGAGTTAATGAAACTTCCCCCCACTCACCCCTACCCCCCACACCCCTAAGGCGATTGCTTTTAACTGTGCTCAGTTAATACTAACGATATTTATCTATAGACGGTTATAAATACAGATTGATGTAGTATATTTTCTCTATCAATAGTAGGTTTACGTCATGGTGTCACCCCCCCACCCCCACCCCTTGTCGGGATTTGTCAAATTTGCTCTTATAAGACTATTTAACACGCTAAATAATCACTTAATTAAGTGGAATCATCATTTTTCTTTATATAATTTGCTATTTTTGCCTTTGTGTCACCCAAATTAAATGGTGACAGCACCCCCGCCCACCCCCTCCTTGCTTGTCTAAAACAAATTGCTTGTCTACTTGGTTGTCTAAAACAAATACCTTGTCCACTTGCTTGTCTAAAACAAATACCTGTCTACTTGGTTGTCTAAAACAAATACCTTGTCTACTTGGTTGTCTAAAACAAATACCTTGTCTACTTGCTTGTCTAAAACAAATACCTGTCTACTTGGTTGTCTAAAACAAATACCTTGTCTACTTGGTTGTCTAAAACAAATACCTTGTCTACTTGCTTGTCTAAAACAAATACCTGTCTACTTGGTTGTCTAAAACAAATACCTTGTCTACTTGGTTGTCTAAAACAAATACCTTGTCTACTTGGTTGTCTAAAACAAATACCTTGTCTACTGGTTGTCTAAAACAAATACCTTGTCTACTTGGTTGTCTAAAACAAATACCTTGTCTACTTGCTTGTGTGAGATTCGGGCGCTCGTCTTGCCTAATTAAAGACTACACAGACTCCAAAGTTCTAATCTAATTTTCAATACCCGAAAGTCGAAGAGATTTCCCTGGGAAAAGTACTAAGTCGGGTAATGATGTGACTATAGATTTTTTTTTATCCTGTTCATTTTTGTTATACAGTGGTTCTTAAATAAAAATTGTAAATGTCAGTAGAGGTCAAAAGGTCATCAAGTTGATAAATATGTTGATATCAATGTAAAATCTCACGTGACTTGACAAGTTAAACACCCTTACATGACAAGTTAAACACCCTTATATGACAAGTTACAACCCTTACATGACAAGTAAAACACCCTTACATGACAAGTTAAACACCCTTACATGTCATGACACGTGTTTTCTGCTTACATCTACTACCGTGACTTCCCGTCCAACATTACATTACATTACATCACTAAATTTAAAATGTATACATTTAAACACATGCAGTTTTCTTTGCAATTTGCCTTATATTTGACACAAAAACAACAGCTAAATTTTGGACCAGCCTAAAATCAATGGGTTACACAAATAACCAGCATTGCCTCGGAGAAGTCAGTGTGGGTTCAGAGATGAGAGAAAAAAATTCTTTCCTGAATTGAAGTTTAAATTTCATTGTAAGAAAGCGTCATTTCCTGTCCCATATCCTGAGGAAATGAAGATTGTCTACCCTTTTGTCTATCTGGAGGAAATTTCTCACGGGTCAAGCTGTCCATTTAGCAGATGAGAAAAAAGGGGATATGTCTTATATCATATGTTCTACAGTGCTAAGGTATTGCCGTAACTGTATTGGCTGGGTCAAATGGAATAGGTTTGAGGTTTACTTAAAGGGGAAGTGCTGGAAAGATAATTTGTTATATGGCGCTTGATGGGGTAGGGAGAGTTACAGAGTAACCTGTGTTCACTACCTTAAAAGGGGGCAGTATCACCCAGACTAAGGGAGGAAAACAAAAATATTCACCAAAAAAAAACTATTCGACATACACATGTCAAAATTGTACAGCAGTAGTAACGGTTCTTCTGCTATAATACAGTATATAAATTGTAGGGTATATGTATAGCAACATATTTGCAAAAAATTATTTTGTTCATATTTTATTACATTTTGAATTTTTTTGTAAACAATTTTCCGAAACCATAAGTAAAGTACTTAAAATTTGCTATAAACCTTCCTTGCGTTAATGGCTATCGTCTGAACTAAAATCATAGGATTCTAATGAGGGATAAAGTTTTTAGAAAATTTCTAAGTTCAATTTTTTTTGTCTGACTTTGAAAAATTCTAAAAATTTCAAAATTATTCACAATGGATATCTTCTAGTTCCAGCGATAGGCTATCCTGTTATGCATCTCCCAGTGTATTTTCAGCAGGAAGGGCTTAAATGTTGGAAAACCGCAGCCACAAATTACTTAGTGAAAATTTTTTGGTTATATTATTTTAAAAAAATGTTTGCATCATACGTTAACTTTCTTTTATGTGCTGTTTTATAGCTCCTTATTAATTACTATTATGGTAAAAAAATTATGTGTGTATGTGTAATAGTTTTTTTTTGGCAAATTTTTTCGTCAATTTTCAAATGTCTGGGTGATAGGTTTTATTTATAGCTCACTCTCTGCTGCTTGGAAGAGTAGGATGAAAAACTTGATACTACGATATAAAACTTAACATTTGTTTCTAATGAACATTTAAAATGCGAAATCCTCTAAGATGATGTTCTTATGTATTTAATCGAAACAATAATTCATTATTTAATATCGCACTGTATTGTGGTTTACAGAGGGCGTAGGTTGTAGATTAGTTAGAGAGTATGTGGGAATCTGGGTTATGGAACTGTTATATAACGTTAGTAAGTCATAATGTTGTCATTCAATATGTGTACTATCTTTTAATCTTTCGATGATTATGTACAGGTAAATTTAACACTTTAAACTCAAGTTCTGGGCTAAAAAAATGTGTGCTATAATTATGTTTATTTTAATGTAATCGTACAGTGACATATTTATTTTGGGAAACACACCTAAAAATATTGTTTATTCACTCATACAAACATACACGCAAACACACACATGCACACCCGCACCTGCACACAAAAGCGGAGACACATACCACACACACGCAGATACCCGGCAGACACACACAGGCACACACAAACACGCACACGAACACACACATATTCAATGTGTATGTCAGCAGTCAAACAAAGGGATTCAACTTCAACTGAGCTCATTCAGACCGCTTAAATCATCAGATCAAGACATAGCGATATAGATAGGTATTAGTTGCTGCAACTGATTTCAAACGGCGTTTATGCTTTTTATGTTACGTGGAGTGTAAGTTCACAGAGCAGCAACTTTCTGCTTTATTTATAGCATGATCTATTCTAGTTTGAAAAATTGTCGTGTAGGAAAGCCGTACGGTTCAAATGATTTCGGGCGATTGTCTGATTCTAGCAGACGAGAAGGTTTCCCTCTGGTTAATCCAAGCATCGCTCCGTGAGGTAATCGGCTTAGCGCAGAAGAGGATTACCAATCTGCTACCTGAGGCTACCACCGGGGCTTTATGGCGAGATTTAGCACAACTGGTGTAGTTAGTTTACAAAAGCAACCACACTTGAATCAGTTATATCCGTTGTTGAGATTATTTTTTTTTAGAACACTTGGCAGCGAGGAGCGATAAAAACATCTACGTAAAAGGCCTTCGGTGTATTTGTTGATAATGTGTTTTCCTCAACCTTTTAATGAGTGATTTTTTTACCAGAACGTTCTTGAATATTTGATGACGTCACTGAGTCGGACGTCACACATGACTGCGGGAGCTGCCCATGAGATGCTAGAGCTAATCTTTAATCCCTTAATGTCACGTTTCCGGTCTCCCAGATTGTTATTTAACCCGCAGGGTCACGTGGTGTCTTCACATGGCTGTAGCAGACGACAGACGAGGGTAAGTCTTTCAGTTTAGGTTATGCATACAATTTCTTTTCTAGAACTTTCAGTTTAGGTTATGCTTACAATTTCTTCTCTAGAACTTTCAGGCTATGTTAACAGTTTAATTTCTAGAACTTTCATTAAGGCTATGTTAACAATTTCTTTTCTACACTTTCGTTAAGACTATGTTACCACTTTTCTACAACTTTCTCTAGGGCAGGGGTTCCCAACCCTGTGCCCGCGGGCGCCATGGCGCCCGCTGAATGATTCGTATGTGCCCGCCTCTCACTATTCGACCGAGACAGATTTATTTGTTACAGTTTTAATTTTTTTTTGGACTGCCTAGGTTTATTAAATATGTTCGATACTTGTCCCAACTTGTCTAGCGGCGAGCCAGACTGCACTATTTACGTTTTGTAAATACTTTTCTCTGTGTGTATGCAATTTGAAAAAAAATGCCAAATAATTTTATTATTTTGAAATATTTTTATTTATTATTTATTATTACATTATGACTATAAGAAAAAAAGAAAAGAAGAAAATAAATTATGG